CAAATATGCTAGTTTTAAGAACATCAAATTTCCAAGGGGCAACTATCAGACCGATAGTTCCGAGACATAAACACTCTATTGTTTTTATTGTTCACCACTAAATTTTCTTCCGCGCCTACAGCTTGTCACAAATGTCAATAATTCGCAACCGTACATTGGCTAAATAATACGTTATACCTGTCAGAATTGAAAAGTCACTGTTTTTCCGATCTGCCTAACTTCGCGGCCGTCAAACTATTCAAAACTTTTCACGGATGAGTACTATCAATCCAGGTATTTTCCGCGGACGGGCACTATCCATCCGGGTATTTTCCGCGGGCGGGCACTATGGGCTGATAGTGTGTCTCCACGGATGAACACTATCGCGTCACATGATCGATTTAAACCAATAAGAACCGGAGAAAATTTAGTGGTGAACTATAATCTTAATGAGTCGCATGTTGTCAGTTGTCAGTGAAATGTCGCCACTTCCGCAACAGAACATTCAGATTCACACTTTCGCATTTCGTTAATACTGTCTAATTCTCCATCGAACTTTTAACCGTGTTCTTATTCATGTAGGATTGGAATCCAAAAATAAACAGAACAACGACAACATTAAAACTCTTCAGGTAATTTTTCTTGCCAAATTTTTGATAGTAATAGGAGTGTCATTAGACTAGTCCATAACCTCAATTTTGTTTTTATCTCGTTATTCTTAGGACAGAATAACTCAGCTAACCACACATCTTGAGACGGTAAGAACGTAGTGCAAGTTAACCTAATCCTTTAAGCCCTCAGAATGGCTAGAATCTCATTTCTCCTTTCAATATCACTCGGGAATCAAACATTTGGGTTACAACAACAGAGAAAATGATCACAAGTTTGAAAAGCTCTTGATTCTTAACATGGCTCACCACTAACGGTAGCCCGCTAGCCTCAGACTAGTAGAAATTCAGTTTTGGCTAGTGGTTTTCGATTTCAACTGGCTAGGTTGGCTAGTAAATAAACTGAAATTGTCGTAAAATCTAAGACGTCACGAGCCACTTGGTTAGTAAAAAGTGTCGAGCCCTGGTTAAACAAATTTCCTCTGTCATTTACCGTGGAAAATGTATAGAGAACAGTATGGAGTATATGAATACTGATGTTAGGTTGTAAAGGGTCCAGCGCGGCTCCTTTTTCTGTGTTCTGAACCCTTGAATTGTTGGAATCGCGAATAGTTTTATAGATGATGTGTTTGTGGTTCTATCTGCAGAGCACGCGAGCGCTCCACGCTACTGCTGAAGCATTGGATGATCGTCAAAAGGTCATTGAAGAATTTGAGGGGTTACGGGTAGGTTTTTAGAAAACTATTAGATAGATAAATGTTTTAATTGAGTGTGGACAGTAATCTAGGACTGCATCGGTTTTGATCTACATCGCTCTTTGATTGGTCTAGAAATCGCACGCTTTGATTGTTCTAGAAATCGCGCCCGTTGATTGGTCCACAAATCTCGCCCCATCCTCTCTCAACCGGTGAGATTGAAACCAAAACCAGTTGCGATTTCTTATGCTCACGAGAGTTTGCTGTTTTTACTTCGAGTCCTCATTGCGTCCTCGTCCTTTTTCTCTTTGTTTTGATTGACCGTTTGGTTTAACGACACCATCACTACAAAAGTGCGTTAAGAGCGTTGGCCTTAGACCTCGAGAGGATTCAAACCTATGGCGTCATGTTGAGAGACAAGAAGAGACATAAAGTTCTCCAACTCACCCCACCCCACCCCCTTCCCTTCTCTCCCAAATGGATCGCATCAACGCGCGAAGCGAAGCTTTTGTTCCAGGAGATAAAAGTTCAGGCCTGCTCCTCTGTAATGTAATAGTCGTTTAGAGGTTTCTTTTTCAAAACTTTGATGATTTTTTTTTTTCAGGGCGAACAGAGAGAACGAGACAAACTTCACGACAAATATGTCAGGTGAGTTACACATTTTTGCTAGCTTAATTTCTTTGTTTAAGGGAACTCGTTAGATACCCAATAAGTTTCCACAGATCACAATTTTTTCGCAACATCGCCCTATTTCCTTCTCCATTCGTCTTCGATTGCGGCAACAATTTAATCAGCTCAAGTTTTGTTTTCCTCCAGGTATAAAGAAAGAGTTGGAAGTATTCGACGAGAACTTCAAGGGGCGAAATCAATGGCGGAAGACTATAGGGTGAGGTGATAGTCATGTGACTAATTTTGTAATTAGTTCCGCAGTAGGTTACGTGCCATATTGTTGAATTCACAATTTAAGTAAGACTGGATCAATTGATAATGAAATTAGTTTGAAAATCCTGGTATGCGGATGATTTTTGCTTGTCAATAAGGCAAGTAGAATTCATTTTAAACTTTAAGTCGTTTTTGAGAAAAACACCGTGACTCCAATTTCGCTTGTTGTATATGTACTGTTATAACATAACCAAAGTAAAGCGCGCGCTCTGATTGGTCAATTTAGCGTACCCCATTTGCCCATGGGTGTACGCTGCTGACGTGAGCAAATGCAAAGACTATTTTTCCGCGCGCGCTTGTTTTTTTCTGGTCACGTAAGATTTGTTAAACAAAAGGGAACTCTTTAGCTACAATGTGTTAATGTTATGTTATAAAACAAATGGTAAACACCACAGCGTACACTATT